GATATTTTCATGATTATTTTACAATTATTATTAGTTTTACTTATATTTATTTCAAGTTTATTTAAAAGAAAAAAATTGGAAACTTCTTCATTATTCAATCTTGCTTTGATGAAATCTTTTTCAATTTTCTTTACATGGTCATAACATCTGCACCAATTTGTGAGATATACCTGAAAACCCCGATAAAGCAGCTATTAAGTAAGAATAATATAAAAAAACCCAACCCTCCTTCTGACGCAGTTGAGTAATAAACTAAATGTATCAAAACATTTCAGTCCAACTTACTGTCAACTCGACGACGCGCTTTAGAATCAAAGATTGACTTTGAATTATGCCTTATTTTACAATTCACATTGAAAACAATATGCTTTGCTTGAACTTTTTCGACTTTTTCAGAAAAATAACAAATAGTCAAGAAGAGATTACAAAAATTTTGCAGCGGCTGACAGATTTCATAATTTTCTTTGACAGGTGACAGTTAAACCATAGACAATTGCCATATGAAAAACACGCTTTTCCAATATTTTTGTTTGCCATGAGATTCTGGTACACCTATAGCTTGGGGTCATTGGACAAAATTCTACGTGCTCACGGACCAGGCTTTAGACGCGCATAGCTCGACGTTTTGCTTTTCGCGCACCTTTCCTCGTCGCGCCAAGCCATATAGCTTGGCCGCTCGCCTGGAAACCATCCGCCATCGTACTCACGCGCACACTCTCATTAAAAAACTCATTTATTTCTGTAAATAGGCTTAAAAAAAGCACTTTTACTTTGACGCGCCCTTCAGTTTTACGCATACAAACTCGGACATTTCACACCATCGCTGCATCGCCAATTTGTCTTACCTGGGCGAGTGCTTCACGTTGTGTAGATGGTTCATTTCTGGCGCTGTAAGGCGCGCGGCGGCAACTTGCACGGCGTCCAACATGGCCGCCAGCGCTGCTGAGCTCTCCGACGGTAACTGCTGCATCAGCGATAAGCCTTGGCTCTCTGAGGTGTTGGTCTCGTAGAGACGCATCTTGAGGAAGGATTCCAGCTGCAGGATAAAAAAAATGTAGATATGTAGCCCTAGTATGGACGCCATGATAAGCTTTTATCGCGCCATTTTATCGACTTTTCGCGATAGGCTTATACGTTTATCGTCAAAATCATCGATAAAATTTTATCACGGCGCGCATCCTAGCCCGGCTGGTCTTCGTGAGAATCAAAATGATGAATGTCACAATGGAAATTTTATAATCGTATAGCCTAAACGACTAGAAATACACTTGTTTTGTTTCTTTTATACAATTGAGCGAATAGTTTTCGTGTCGTCACACTACAACACGAGCCTCTGCGTGTGTCACTTTAGTGCATTAATTCGCTGCTGTTACTAAAGTATGTCGTGGTTTAATAAAGATGTGCAATAAAAAAAACAGTAAAAAAAGAGAAATTAAGAAATGTTAGTACATTCTCTCTCTCGACCGACTCTCGTAGACAAAAGATCGGTAATACGGCTTTTGGGCCTTGCCCTTGCCCCTCCACCATGATACTCGAATCAACATCATCATCATCATCATCATCTCAGCCATAGGACGTCCACTGCTGAACATGGGCCTCCTCCAATGCTTTCCATGTTGCCCGGTTGGTAGCGGCCGGCGTCCAGACACTAATCATCCTGCTGAGTAAACTATAATGTACAACCATGATTGTCTCACCTCAACCAGCTGGTCGATGAACTGGTTCCTAGTCGACGGGTTGTCCAACAAAGTGAGCGCGTCCCGCCCCCGCGCCGCGCCCCCGCCCACGCCCTGCCCTTCCACTACTATTCCAGACTCGTCCAGAGATATGTCCGATATGTTCACTGACACGTCCTGAGTGAATGAAGAAAGAAAATTGTTTATTAAACACCTAAGGCTGAGGTTTTCGACGCGACGGAGACAAGAGACAGCAGAACAGAGAAAGAGCATTTCGATGATAAGAAACGCGTCACGCATCCAGCGCAGTGTCGCTCAAAGTGCGGCCTCCTGACCTTAAGCGCTACTGCACACAACGCCGCCACCGCGCCGCCCCCGCGCCTTTGCACTGTTTATACGCGCTGCGTGAAGCCCGCTGGCGAAATTATGCTTTGAGGGCGCGGTGGCGGCGCGGCGGCGGCGCGGCGGCGGCGCGGCGGCGGCGCGGTGGCGGCGTTGTGTGCAGGAGCGCTAAAGCTTCAACCACACCAACACGTGCAAATTGCCATCGCCGGCGCGATCATAGGCCAATGGCAGGACGTTGCCTGTACCTGTCATTTGCGGACGAATTGAAAGCAAAGCGAAAACGTAGTAAACATATCGCGAGAGTATTTCGGAAGAGAAAACTATTTAGCAAAGTAATAGAAATAATTGATGGCAGGAGACCTCATATCAAATACTTACAGAATCTACAACAGCAACATTGTCAATGTTGCCCCAGTCAATTTCAGCTGCTGCATCGCCTTCCCCGATGTCAATTTGCGCTGACGTATCTATGGCACCAAAGTCTATGGCGTTGTCGTCACCAAAGTCAATCTAAAACAATAAAAAAAATACATTTTTAGATTTATCCACAGAAGACAATAAATGAAAAGGGATGACTTGGATAATAAGTAACATTGGGATAATATTTTAGGTTTTTTCTGTTTAAATATAATGGTAATTTGGTTTGACTGAAACAAATGATGATGGTAAACTTGAGAACATAAGAGAACACATTTTAACCGTTAAAAATTATAACAATAAATGAAAATTAGTTGAAATCTTACCTGATCACCAGCAGCTTGATCTTCATCGTCAAATTCAATATGAATCGGATCCGGCTCCACACTCAACGGTGGTTCACCGTAACTCCACTCATACACAGTAGTGTTACCGTTCTCAACTACGTACTGCAACAATGGTAGCACTTCCGTAGCTTTGTCCCCAAGTATGTACTTAGTGAATGCTGAATACAGCTGTATCCCTGGCAAGAGAGGTTTCAGGGACTTGCCAATCTGAAACACAGTGGTAAAGTATGTTTTTTTTTCTATAGTTGAAGATTTTTTCTATAAATAGTGTTGATCAATTATGAAACAATTTGTATGGAATGTTTTTTTTTAATTTGAACTTCAGTCCCTTTTGGAAAGTTGTTGCATTTGAGTAGTAGAATCAACCCTTTTCAATGATTGACTATAAAAAAACAACCTGTTTATATAGTAATTGTTTCAATGTGCAATTATAAAGAATAAGTTGTAAATTAAGAAATAGGTAATTAATAAATTGAAGTCACAGGAAGAACCTGGATGCGGGCAGCACAGGATCAGTCATTGTGGAAATCCTTGGGGGAGACCTTTGTCCAGCAGTGGACGTCATTTGGCTGAAAAGAATATTAAATTGAACATTATATTCTGAAATATTATAACAACCTTCTCATAAATCTCGGGCAGTTCCTGCAGTCTGTCCACCAGTTCCCTTTTTATCTTGTCCCCCTGGATGCCCAATTGCTTGCACTGGTTGAGGAACTCCAACTTACTTGACGCTTCATTTTTTTGATAGTCAGACTGCTTCTTATCATACTCCTGGAAGTGAACAACAGGATGTTAAATGTTTACATTCCAAGCATGAAGGTAGGTACCATGAAGACAAATCTGCCTCTTTAATAAATGGAGACTGATATTAAATTTATTTGGAAACTAAGAAACAATCAAAATGTTGAATGAGATTATGAGACTAATAGGAACTAATACCAATAGGAAAATGCTAAATTATTAGGACTTGGGTACACATTATTTTTTATGAAAAACAAGTTAAATAAGTAGTTAGTTTGTCTAAGACTTGGAGTTCTTAGAGACTGCTTCATTACCATTACATCTACAAAAATACAAATTTCATTTTAAATAGGGGTACTAACCTGTTGCATTTGCTCCTCTTTCACAATTTGTTTTTTTAAGCTTGGGATTTCATAGTTGATATTCCTGACCAACATCTGAGCTGCCTCAGCTAAGTACAAGTTTTCTTTCTCATAAGTCCTTACTACATCCTGCCAGTCCTTCATTCTCTGAGACCCATACCTCCCAAAGAGGTTCTTAGTGTCTGCTTCGGTCTCCTTTAAAATTTCTATGATTTTTATACAGTGGAAATAATTAATGTAACTGCCAGATAGAAGTGTAGCTATGTCGTCATGAGCTGGCATATCCTGTATAGCATTGTTTATCTTCTCTCTCACGGCTAAAATATTCTTCTGCCATTCTTTATTTACATGCCGTCTGCTCACAAGCCAGTCTTGAAGCTTTCCTATGTTAATATCGATGGGAATGTTGCTCTCCTGTAAACAGGACATTTGTTTTCAAATAAAACTGTTAAATCAGTAAATACACTCTACGTTTATGTATGATACTTACGTCCATGTTTTTATCTTTTATTACTTAAAGTTTAATATGCGGTTTCTTTGTCTTTTACTTAAAAATCTTGATTTTTACTTCACAACACAACTTCTGTGATGTTGACGATTTGGCAATTTGACAATTTGACATTGACGTTAGTAAATGACGTTGATGTTTGTGAGTGACGTGTAAAGTGAAAGAAACCGAAAGAAAAGTGAAACGAAACGCAATTTAGATCTTTTTTTAATCTACAAAATTGGAGGGTAGATTACTATTATTCACGACTTGTACCTATAATTTTTTTTTAAGATGAGGCTGTTAATGTTTATCTGATCTTTTTAGTATGGGGAATCCCCGTCTGCTCTCAAAAAACCTTTCTGGAGATGAAAAGGGCCCCTTGATCCTTAAATCCCGGGCATTTAAGGGCCGTATTAGGTTTAGGTGAAAGACGTCTCTGCTTAAATCTCTTTAAATAGCGGTAAAATTAAAAAATAGGCCATATTCTGCATATTCCAAATATTTCTGAGTTCCTACTCTGACCCTGATTTACCTAAATATGTACGAGTTGTTATTGTTATCGCATACACAAATAATATGCCGCGGGTGTTTTTAAACGATATTGGTATTCACACATAGACCTAAATTTTCTTATCTTGGCAGTCAATAGTAGACAGCAGATAAAAGTTGGCTTGTGCTACAATAACATCAAGACATTGGTATTTATTGATATCACATGTTCCTCGTGATCTGTCGAGGCTGCCTGCTTATTAATGTGATTTACAAAGGCGTGTTATTTAAAGTTACTTGGAGTTATATGAAATCCTAATGTAAAAAAGGGTTAAATAAATAAGTTTACAAATACAATGGCTGAATCTTCATCTCATAACTTTAGCAAGTAAGTACTTATTTAAAAATTTATTTAATTGCATTAAATTAATTAAACAAAATATAATAAGGCCTACTACAATGTCTACAATTTGCACATTAGCTGAGCCGAATGGAAATGAAAGGAATATTCCTCACTCATTGAACCGGAAAAACCTGCGACCATAGCGCCCCGCCCACAGATATGGAAAATATGAAAACTATTTTTTTTTTCTTTAGTAATGTCAAGCAGGTTATCTCGAAAAAGTCGTAGTCGTAGGTAATTTGTAAACAAACAAAGAAATTAATTAATTGGCTCAATTTATCAATATTGACTTAAAAATCGAAACAAATGACTCTAGTTAATGTTTTAATAATAAGCTGACGTGTGTTGACAAAATATCAGAAAAGAATCAGGTTTGTTTCTTGTTTTTATTTTGGCAGAAATTAAATTGAATAATTAATTCTCAATATTTTTAAGATCAATTTTACTGTCCATAGTTTTCCCAGCACGTCGTCGGGCACAGTTCACGCTGATGAGGGAGTGATTTCTGTAGACGTTTCCAAAGAAGATCTAGTAGATTCCATCGGAGAGATGTGCGACTCTTCGATACCTCCTGATTTGATCATGTAAGTGAACTGTTTAACTACCCTGCTTTTTGCAGGGCGAACTAACCTGTATGCAATGCACATAGGTTACATTTTTATAATGACAAATCTATTGCACTTAGCATTACCAGGTTTGTCTCTTTTTTCATACTTTTGTGCAACTTTTACATAATGTAGGTAGGTTAGGTTAGGTAGGTAACATATTATTTTCCAACTGGAATAGATTATAATTCAAATTAGAAGATTTAAAAACTAATATTAACTAAATCCATTTAATTCCAGGTCTACAGAAGGTGCCATGGACCAAGACGATCCAACAAGACTTACTTTAGCCTATGAAAACTTGTACGAACTGCCTAGAACTATTGTGGAACGATTTGCGGACCATATCAGATATTTGGACATCAGCCACAATAAGATTACGTAAGTTAACGTTATTGTTAGAATTTTTTTTAGGTCTTTAGATCACAATTATTCATTCATGCAAATGAAATTCAAGCATTTCTTTATTGGATTTTCTTTAATATTCTCAAAACAGTACACAGACTGTTTTTTCTAGTAGGTATCTATACTTAATATTATAAATGCGAAAGTAACTCTGTCTGTCTGTCTGTCTTGCTTTCACGCCTAAACCACTGAACCGATTTTGATGAAATTTGTCATAGAGATAGATTCCTGGGAATGGACCTATAGTTTTTATCCCGGTTTTTTAAACAGGGACATGGGCGATAAAGACAAAATTCCACTCGGGCGAAGCCGCGGGCGGAAAGCTAGTAAGTATTAAAGCTTTATAATATTTTTTGTTGACATTTTCAGAAACTTGGATGCGCTGGTGCACTTCAAACATCTGACGTCATTAATTGCCGACAGTAACCCCATCACAGAAAACTGCTTTCTGCCTCCACTGCCCAAATTAGAGCTGTTGTGGTAAGATTCAGTGTTAATTAATGATTTGAATAAACTGAACACTATCAAATTATTTGTTTGTTGCATTAGCATAGCCTAGTTATTAAGTAGATGATTAATTTGTTTTTATTTACTTAATATGACGTCGCCTACGATTGATTACATTATTTAACAGTATAGTAGTACATAATGGAAAATTACATTTTAAAACAGAGAAGTTGCAAGCTTCCTCTCAAACTGTAAAGTTCTAATAGAATTTTCTAATGTTTGCATCTAAGCAAGCAGACTAAACACGTCATGTTCTTTCTTACTATAATATTGTAAACATTTATGTTATTTGCAAATAAATGTTTGAACTTGAACTTAAGAAATATTCTATTTTTAGGCTAAACCACTGCAAAATTGCATCCCTTTACCCATGGGTGGGCAAGCTAAAGGAATCATGCCCCAATCTCCAATATCTGTGTCTGATGGGCAACCCTGCTGCGCCCAGCTACCTCAATGGCGGAACATTCTATGAATATCTACAATACAGGTAAATATTGATCCTCAAGCAACATTCAAAAACTTAAAATTAATTTTTATATTAAAAAGGTATTATTACTCATGATTCATTTGTTTTTCTAACTTTCAGACTTTTCGTCATCTCCCAATTCCCAACTCTCAACCACTTGGACGATCGTAAAGTAACTGAGGACCAACAAATCGAAGCTCAACGTTTATACAAGAGGCCATTCCTGGAGAGACTGGTCAAGCCAGGGTCCGGAGGCTTGAACAAGCTGGTCAACTCCACAGTGTCCTGGGGCAATGTGCAAGGTAAACTCGCTTCCATTTTGGGTAAGGATCGGCAAAATAGAAACTTGCTGATATAGTAGCTACTCTCAGATTTTTAATTCCAGTCATTAAGTTGACATTGGTCATAAAGTTTGTGTCTAATCAAAAAGGCAGCTATTTCTAGTGGTTATGAATAAGTGATGTTGTATTTCTATGACCCAAATGTTAATAATAATGACCTGAATTAAAAACTGAGGTAACATTTTGAACTGTTATTTAACCTCATCTTTATTCGATTTCGAATTCGCTCAATATTAGATTAAAATTATTTTAACCTATGAAATAGTAATACGAATAATAATAATCGTCTACGCTTATATTATACCTAATCTTTAGCATTCTAGATAAGTTGTGATAAATTTTGAGACTACTGAAATTCCATTTATTAGTACACAAAAAGGGTTTAATTTACCCTTTTTATTTATAGCCAATAATAAATAGTCCCAACCATCAAACATAATTTAATAAAAGCTTGTATATTAATAAAGGCCGTGGATATTATCTAGCTAGAAGTACAAATACAGACCCTCAAAAACTAAGTGAGACAGTGAGTTAGTTTTCTGTACTTTGTCATTAGTATGACCTTTTGATATTTATCGTTATCTGAGATTTTATAGGGCTTATAATAATACAGTTACCTATAAGCGTTTTTAACATATTAATAATGGTCTAGTTGTGTATATTTAAACTCTTTGAATACACTCTATTTCAATATCTATCGAAAAAGACTGTTCGACAAATAAATTACTTGTTCCATTCTTTGTATAGACCCAATATACTGAACTGTCCTACCCGTGACATTGACAGGGCGCGCCACCGTCAATGCCAGATCGCTGTTTCCGATTTTTGCCATGTTGGAAACTATATAGTTGAACGATGGTGGCGCCCCCTGTCAATGACTTTGGTGGGACAGTTCAGTGTAGGTCATCTTTAAAATCGAATTTATTACGTATACTTATGTTTAAAAATATTATTAATTAATTTTAGTTAGTTATAAGCGGTTGTGAATGTGTTGTTGATTGGTGAATTTGTGTGTTAAAATATTTAGCCAAACATTAATTCCCTCAGCTTTAAAACAGAACAAAAACAGAAAGCCTAAACTTTTGATTATAATATAAGTTTATCTAAATTTGATACCATATTTACAATTTTTTATTTATTTTATGATACAACAAAATTTTTATAAACAAAAAATTGCTAACTGTTCTTAGTAAGAAGATTATAACTCTTTTCTTATTCAATACAATATCATGTAATAGAAGTTTTTTATATACATATTAAATTAACTATCTTACTTCTAATATTAGTATGTGAAACTTGCTCTCTATACAGGGTGAATTTTTGAAACTGGTAACAAACTACTAGATCCAAAAAAGTGTGAGTGGAGTCGTTACAATACAGGTACCTATATTTTTGGCAGCTAAACGATTAAGATAATACTCCACTGCCATATCTCAAAAATCCACCTTGTAACAACAATATTAGCATTTTAAGCATTTTTAAATAATAGTATACCACATAGCGTAAGAGACGGGTGGGTAAAAATATAAACAGTTCACTGTTCTGCCAACCAACTCACCCTGTATGTTTAAATAATTATTACCTTTTTAAAGTTTATACAAATCAAGTTGTTTATATGAATAAATCATTTTAAAAGTTTTCAAGAGTTATTTTTCACGTCTGACTAAAACATATTAAACTTAATCTGTCTCGCTAATCTAAATGATCTAAAAAAGTAATCACTTTAAAAGACCTGTCGATAAAGTCTATCGAAGAGAAAATAGTTTGTCGAGTAAAACTGCGAAATGAAACTCAGGGAAGGTTTAAGAGTTTATTAAAAAACATAGTTAATTAACAACTTAAATTGGACTTATAACGAAAGAAAAACGAATACGAATCAATGAAAAAATGTCCGCATACAATATGAATATGAATTGAGTCTTAATACTTAGTCAGGAAGTTAGTCTTTAACATAAGAGCAGTAAGTTTCACTATCCAGTGACTTAGTCGAAAAGTGTAGTCTTCCAAGCAGTGAGGTCGACCCGCTGTATGTCTTCGCAGCGGACCTTAGGGTTGTCAGGCGTTTCCAACTCGAAGGCGCGTCTTTGGACATAGAGCACATTCGTGTTGTCGCAGATGATGCGAGCTATGGACGCTTTCTTCAGCTCTTGGAGTTGGTCTGTCGAAAAATCGAAATATTTAGGTCGTTATTTTGAATGAAACTCAAGAATGAATTTCTCTTAACAATAAATTCAAGTCTGAGAATGGTCCAAATATTGAACAAAACATGCGTCAAGTATTGAGCTTCGTTTTATAAACTGAAATCGATTGGCGTGGTCTTGGTTGTCCAAAGCAAATACTTAATATATTAAAATGAGGATGATTATATTGACGCGTAACGTCCAATTTCAGCTAATAGCAATTCAACTAAAGTGAAAGCTTATGATTAATTAATTACCTGGTGAAAAAGAATGAGGCATCTCGCTATTGTCATAAAAATATCTATCGCCGACTCTTGTCCGGTAGAACTGCTCGCCCACTATACACTGGAAAGTATGCCCGAGGATCGAACCCTGGACAGGGCGCTCCATGGCTCCTCCCACGAACAAATCCACGTCATCCACGCACTCGTACATTTGGGAAAGGGCGTATATTCTCTGGAAAGAGTAGCATTCACTTTGTATTAAAAGACCATACTTGGGGATGTAAGAACCATGTAAGATACTTTGATGTAAAGAAAGGGTACTTACATCTTGAGATATTTCCCCACTCAAGTCTTGAAAAGTCCGGGCCCTCCAAAGTGCACATAGCTCTCTGAAGACATACAAAGACACACAGTGAGTTTATCCTAGATAATTACGAGTATAATAAAACTAGAAGAGCGTCTGAAACCTCTTTACATCAAAAAGTAAAGAGTATTAGAAGAAGAAGATTATCAGTACCTGTAATCATTATACGATGCAATGCCATGATCTCTGCCCCTCTGGATATCCATTGCGACCAAATCCAGACCCCAGAGGTTTCTTGATTTGAACAATAAGTTGCTGATTTGCGAAGAACAGAAAGTGTCTGAATCCGCAGCGCTCTGCGCCAAAATACCACGGACCACGTCGTCGAAAGATTCCGTGGAAGATTCCAGAAGACTTGGGTTTTGGTAGTGGTCGCTTAGTCTGGAAATTAAAAAGTAAAGAACAGAAGAGAGACGATAATTTAAATGACTGTTTATTTTTGTAGACAAGAGGTTTGAAACTCCTTTCCTGTTCAAATGTTGAACGCTGAGAGTTCCTAAATAATAGTCCCTGTTTTATTATGAACGTAAATACCTTCTCAACCCCATAAGTAAGAGAACATCAGAAGGCGAAAAGTCCAGAATCCATTAAATTTACCTGTGGGCATAAGCAGCGTAGTAGCTTGACGGGCAAGTCATGATAGTATCAGGAATCGTAGAATGGAGGAACCTAAATGCGCCTGCAGTAAAGCTGTTGATGATTCCAGGGTTGACGTCCTCGTTGTAATCGTAGCTGTAGAGTGTAGATGGCGTTATATGGTAGTACCGGAGGTAAGTTTCACCTGTTGAATGACGGAAGATATTGTTGTAATGCCAATAATGTTGTTTTGAAAATAAAGCATAGAAATTGACAAACTCGTATTATCGATATTTACCAAAATTTGAGGGGAGCCACTCCTGATAGGTGATGTGCTGGATCTCCGCGATGACGATCCTCCTTGCCTCTTGGTACAGCTTTTCGTCCGTCCATAGAGGATTCAGGGTGCTGAGAATATCTGCCACTCGGTTGTGCTCCCGCAGGAAAAGCGTATGTAGCATCGCCAACGTTGGAGTTTGGTTTATTCTACCGTCACCTTGAATATAAAGCTTGTGGTAGGTATTGTTTGGAACAAAAGATTTCATACATTGTTAAAGGAATTTCATATTACCAGCCAAATAGCAGGGCTCAGAGATATTTCGCAAATCGCACATAGCCGTCTTGTCATCCGCAGTCGGCAGGAACCCTCGCTTGTTGTAGTCCTTGTATCCTTCCTTCAAACGGCCGCCTCTCTTGCTCCTCAGTTTTGAAGCCAACTTCTTATCCGAGCCGTAAATGTTGGAACCATCTAAAAAGCTGGTTACTGTGTTCATCTGAAGAAATTTAAAATGTTTGCTCCATCTTTTTAAACTACATGAACACAAGAAACACCTTAATCCATCGAGATTGCTATCTCTCTCTTACTTTTTGTGACATCAGTCATATTTACCTGCTCTGCATATCCCAAGCTACAGTCGTCTCTAGGAGTAGTTATACTCCTGACAAAATTCAGGCACTTGACACCGTAGTATCTGTAGAATGCATCGTTTTCTGGCACCGTGATAGGAATGCATTTGTCGTTCATCCACTCTGGTGGCAATACGTCTACGCCGTCGCCTATGCAGCAATGGATGCCTCCATTGTCTGGAATATTCAAATATAATTCTTCATCATTTTTGAGAACTGTTTTTGGAGCAGCCATGTAAATGGGCCATTCTTATTCTTACGCATTTTTGTGTGAGATGTAAGAATAGCATATGTTTTTCAAGAAAATCAGTGCACTGTATATTAATTTACTTAGTAAAATACCTCTATTAACTAGGCCCAATATCATTTTTATCATAAAACTATTAGAAGAATATTTAAAAAAAGTTACAAGTCCAAAATGTCACGGACCGTGTAGTGTGAGATTCCCGGATTTGGACATACAATATTTTTTTCTGAAAAGATTTTATGTTATTTTGATAAATATTACAGTAATTATGCAAGATTAATACATGTTATATAAGACTGTTAAAAATTTATATCAATAATAATTACCATTTTTGATTTTGAACACCAAACATTGTGTGAGCAGTTTTTGTGTCACAACCACGTGCGCCACTTTAAATATGCGTAACTCGGTAAAAAACTATCTTTGATATTGACATCCCTTGCTAAGTTTTTTTAGAACAGTAACATTGTCATCTTATTAGATTTGCAAATGGCTGAACGTAGTGAGTGAGCCGCAAAAAATTATTTCCTATTTATTTGAAAAAAGGGACAACCATAACACGTCCATCCCGTGTACGGTTTTTAAAGGTAGGTATCAATGTCACGCTATTGTATAAAACATAATTATGTACCTCATGCAGTATAGTTTCAGATAATTGCACAAGATCTGCTAATTCACAGATAGTTTTTTGGATATATCGGACACGTTCCAAATTGTCACGGCCATGGTATTAAAAATGTGTCACTACCGCAAACTATTTAAGTACATGGTCGTGACATTACAACGCGTGGTTGTGACATTCTATTTTTATTATTTTAATAGTTTTTGTTGTTCTGCTAAATTATTTTGTGTATTGTGCAATTTTTAGGAGTAGCCTTTTAGTAAGTGTACTTATTTTTCGCTAGTATGATTTTCTAGATGCCACGAAGGAAAAATTATTGCACTTTCTCATTTCTGCAGTAATATCAAATTTTACTGAGACAGCTCCCGGTAAAGGCCCTGCAGAGGTGGTCGGAGTTGTTTTAAAAGGAATTGCTATTAACCATATTTTTAGTGGTACGGTGACTATGAAACATGTTTAAGTTGTCAAAACCAACTGTTATGTGAATCCTACAGAAATCTCATTTGATACTCAATTAGGTACCTACTGTGTTTAAGATTTACTAATTTGTTAAGCATATTATCATATCGAAACCATGTAGGTAGCATATCGGAAGCATGATCAGATAGTGCCAATAATAAAAAGTCTATTTTTTTATTATCTAGTAGATATATTAACTACCTGACGGTATTTTTGATATCAATTTTAATTAAATTTTTGGATGTTCAGAAAAAAGTACATATTACCAAATAACACCTTTGTTGATGAAACGAATTTAGTGTATTTTATTGTTAATCAATTTAAACTATTATGATATAAATTTAACAACATAAATATTATTATTTACAGTAAAAATGTAAAACTGTCACATCCGTGTCATGCAGTGTCACAGCCGTGTTTACGTAGGCTATTTTGTTTCCTTTCCGAGGGCTTTAAGGTTGTCCATATACATCAAAAGTATGCTTTTGGTTTATACTTTCGATACATATCGCAAAAAGTTTAAAAAAAAAAACTTTAATTTTAAAAAAAAAATTGGCACAAATTTAAGAATGGCCCAAATAACTGAAACGCAAATTTTCTGCAAAAGTAGACCTTTACAAGCAACTTCATATTCTGTCAATTTCTGTTACAGAAACAGATTTTGAAAGGTCATACCACCTTACGATAAGTTTGTCAAGTTTGCCCTGCCACAAAAACTTACCAGTGACCTCCATAATCTGCAAGGATATGTCATGCGTGATGAACTGCCCCCACTGCATGCTCAGATAGTTGTGCACGCGGCTTGGTATCGCCGCGTCTGCGAACAGGCGACTGGACAGGACCCTCGGGTTGGGTAGAGCTCTCTCACTCTTAGCTACCGGCATAGCGTGTATTCCTGTAAAAAGCACTTCATGGCATGCGTACGCGCGTTTTGCCTTACATACTCAGCCATGGAACGAAATTGAATAATTTCTGTTATACGGTATTGCGTTTTAGAAGTTAAAATTAATTAAATTTTGTTCATTTGTTAGTAAATCCTATTATAAGTCACATGTCCCTTTAAAGTTCCCTTATCCCGGTAACTTTCCGCCCCGTCCCATTTCATTGAACGACCACTTTCCTCCAGATTGTGTCAAAACCCCGCCTGTTTACCTACGGTCATTAAAACAAGTGCACGAATCGATTGCTCACCAATACTTACGACGCCATAACATCGACACAAGCGGCCATTAAATGGGTCAAGGCTGTTTTGTTTTGCACACTAGGAAGGTAGGAAACTATGCGCGCCTCGAATATAATGGTCGATCGCTTTATGGTGGGAAGATTTACAACTTGACTGCAGCTGACGCTTCCCACGGGTTGCATGCTTGGAGCACATGAATAATGTGTTCTTAGAAAAAGCGTCGACGTTCGTCATAAGCTCTGACGCACCTGCACCATTAAGAAATTAACTGAAGTAATGAAGTTGTTATTTCTGTTACCAATTAATGGTTGCAAAACAATTATCCAAAAGTTCAGCATTTGCTGATTGAAAGAAAACGATAATCTTTAAAGGAAAAAGTCACAAAAGGACATCCATCGTGTCCTGTTGGCGAGCGCATCTTCAAGTAGACTTCATCCCACAGTAGAGTCGTTAGACAGACTCTGCTCTGATTATGTCATACAGAATTTATGTCGTGATTAAAGTAGGTAAAATAAAATAAATGGAATTAAATGTACAGTAGACGGTTGGAGGTTCTCCACAGACATAGCTTATCTCTAAAGTAGACGCACCGTCCGCGTACCGTGGTGTAGCAATCCTGATGAAAGGGGCTCCTCGTCTGCCCCAAGCTGGTCGAGCCACGTTGTTGCAGGTCCCATCGATGGTGCGGTACCGGCTCTTGCCGCAGCGAACGCTGACGGGCTTACAAGAGATGCCGTCGTGTCTGATCACCTGGTGCTCGAGGAACGACATAAATGTGTTCGGAGTTACTGTAGAACTGACAAAAGTTATTTGTTAGACTATTGCAGGCAAGATTCAAAGCGTTGATGAATGCAGCTAGCTAACAACATTGCAGCTAAAGCCTGGTCTGTGAGCACGTAGAATTTTGTCTAATGACTCCAAGCTACCCATCCTTATCGCTCGCGCGTAATTATGTTGCTGTCGCGCTCGCACACTCACTGCGGGCGCCCGTCGCACAGTCGCGACACCAATATAATTACGCGCGAGCGATAAGGATGGGTAGCTTGGGGTCATTGGACCAAATTCTATGTGCTCACAGACCAGGCTTTATTTTGTATGCTATTTCCATGCCTAGACTTTAGAAACAGGTAATCACAGTTTTTACGGCAGCAACGATTGACTAGGTAGGTAGGTCAAAAGTAGACAGGTTTAGGATAGCAGAATTACCTTGAACACAGCTTGATCTGCAACATCTTAGTGGTCATCAAGATCTCCTGAGACGCCTCGGATGCCTTCTTCACATCAGCAGGAATGTTTGCGGAGAAGAAGTGGTGTATCGCCGGAGTGCAGTGGTCAAGGCAGACGCCATTTTTGACCAGCTGGTTTCCACGCAGAATGGTGGATTTGGACAGGTCTCGACCACACTTCACGCATTCTGTTACTAGTTCTTTGGTTATTGGACCGTCTTCTTCTGTGAACATAAAATTCTAATTCTGAACGGGAAATTAACATAGGAACTTGATTTGATGTAGGTTTATGGACTTTGGGTGTCTAGAAGTCAGTCTCTAGAAGTCCATTGCTGGATATAAATCTCTTGACCTCACAATATCGATGCGGACTTCCCAAGAGTCTTCTAATAGTGATCGAGAACCTTTATTCCCTCATCAGTGGTTAGTTCTATCGATAGAAATTATTAGTTACAAGTACAAGCATCTAAAGGCTGTTTCATTATCGTGTCCACATTGTTTAGTTGTTTTACTTTATAGTTACAAAACTAGCGGCGACACAGACGACCCACGTGTATTTCCCAATTTTTTACGTGTGTACGATGCAATGTTATTGGTAATGTAATGCGTAAGTTACCTATTAATTACGTAGAGATCGAAGAACATGATGAATTGTCGAAAATAAGTAGTTTTAGTGAATGTACATTGTACACGTACAGTCGCCAGCACATCATTGTATCAAATTTTGTATCTATTAAAACTACATGGTACTATAATCTTACTGCTCTTACTGCTACTATAATCTTCATGTGCTTCTACTTTTTTGTACAGTAAATAAATAAATAAATGTATTTATTGCCTTCGAACCATCATAACTACATAAAGTTACGCGCATTTTAGTATTCTCTCTTTTATGTAGGTTAGAGGATTAAAATGTAAGAGACGTTATCTATGTATTTTTCTGCATGAATTAATGTTATGATTCATTGATTAAAATAATCGGTGGCTTGCATTAAATTATGTAATGTAAGTAGCTATATTCTGATAAGTAAAGGGTTGCCTAGTAACATTTGTTTTTGAGCCTTTGTTACACCATTGGGAAAGAATTCGAGGCTACATACTCACTTTTGGGCTCCGTAGTAAACAAGTCCTTAATGAAAGACGTCGTACCACTTAAAATTGGACTTAGTGCAGGAAACAATTCTTCGGTTAAAAAGTCCCAGCCCAGACAACCACTTGTACCACTAATGGCCAAACTAAAAACAACTGTTATGAACACTGCACTGTGATTGTCATTGAAAAAGTTTGAAACCCACATGTTGCACTAAGGTCATACTCCTCAAAACTTAAAATTCCACTGATTTCACTTTTCCACCAAAAATAATTAGTTACAACTCTATTTCTGTTTTTTTCTCACCATAAGTCAAGAAAAGGGTTAGCGAATTTACTGGCAGGATTAATTTCGAAAAGACCGCGAATGACAAGAACTTTTTTTAAAGATGACGCTGTTCTCATTCGTACTTTTTTTTGTTATGCACTAATTAGGGTTTTTCGGCCAGCATTCAAAAAGGAAAAAAAATATCACCGTGCTCGATTAAAATTAAAACTTAACTGAATAAAAAAAAACAAATTGTGTAGTTGGTGCTGGCTTATCGTGTCACGTTCGTTGCATTAGATTCGAAGTAGAAGAAATTCAAATAAAATTGGTTAGGACATGCTTTACCATAATATGCAATAGTGACTCTATCTATTGGATAAGTGCATAATATTAACATTCCTCTGTAACTTGTTTCATTAACAAATTAATTTTATAATGTAGGCAAGTTATCAGTAAAAACGTAGCTTTATTATTGTACCAAGGTTATTAGTATATTACTTCCACGTACCTACGATCCTATTTTTCAATGACACAAGAAACGCTGCTGGTTAACTAAACAGTTTTAGCCTGTAAATGTTTTGTGATAAAAAGTTTAAAAAATAACAATCTAATTACAAAAAAACAGTTTATTCCAAAGCGACAAACTTAAGTATGTACATTTTGTGACAACAAATACAATATCAAAAATATTTTTAATCTAGAACTTATGTCGGACTAGACGTGTTCGATGGCTAGTGGTTATAAAATACAATATTTCATACTTCTTAGGGTAACAAACAGAATGAGGTAGATAAGCACAGCGCTGCATCTGCGTTACATAGTCCCTTAATAATACAGTAGTTATTATTAGATTTCTGTAGTCAAAGTGTTAAGTTAGAGACGTAGCGATTTCGACATCGAATAGGTTCTTTTATACATAGATTCGACGTCACAATCGCTTTCCATTACGAAATACACATTTAAAGCCCGTTTTCCACCGCTAAGAGGAATGAACTAGGAATGTCTAGCAGATTCTTCGTGTACATAAAATATCTTTTCCACCAAGAAAGAGTTGATTTGATAAGCGAGCATTTCCACTATTTTTGCCCTCTTTGTCATTTTCGCTCTCGACTCTATTGGTAGGAACAGATTTATGCATTTTTTATTGCGAGTTAAACGGAGTCTTTAATAATTATAATGGACTCGCTTCGCTCGCGGTAGAAAACCCGCTTTAGGCCTTGTCCAGGAGGGCGAATTCGTCGCGAATGTCTTCGCGCGAACACGAGCGTAAATGTATGGCGCGATATACGCGCGAATTTTCAACTCGCCCGTGTCTTATGGACGCTGTGACGTGACGTGTCTAATGGCTGCTAGTATCTCGCCAACGTGCGTATGATTCTACGCGCGTAAGATTCGCGGCGAATTCGCCCTCCTTGAGCCTTGAGCTTCCCAGAAGGCCTTGAGCTCTACAATCGTCATTTGTTACATAGCAACGTCTTGTTATCACCGTACATCGCACCTAAATAAGTAATTTATGTGTTAGAATGTCAGTTGATCCAATTGATTCTAATAAGTATCGCTTCCGGGCTTTTAATTGAATGTTTTGCTCTCCTAACTCAAGGTCTAGAAGATCTGCTGCTTATCATTCCCCTTTGAAAACCAAAGAATTATGACTATTGAATATTAAAATTACTAAGAATAAATACTTCATTTAATGTAATATTAAGATACATTTGTGCTTGATCACAGTCGTGGTAATTCATTGGTCTTTGGTAAAGCCTACATACCCATATTATAGATACTATTTGATTTGATATGAATACCTAATCTAGAACTAATCTTTCACATTTATCTTAAAGTTAATTACCTAAATAATATTCGTAATAATAATTCAACAGTATACTTAAAATTAGTACAAACATGTTATAACTCCAAAATTAAGTCCTTTCATGATGGTTAATAGCTTCATAAAAAGATCATTATAGACATTTATTAATTTTTTTTGACTCTACAAACAACATTAATTAGTTGTTTGGTGAAAAATACTTTGTCTTTATGAAACTTTAAGTTACTAACTACAAGTACTTAATTCAAATTTTTAACTCGTATAGAAGTCTCGTTCATTGATCTCATTTTAACTTAACCAATCACAATATTAAGGCCACAAATACAAAATAAAATACTAAATACGGTTTTGGTTAGAATAGATGATACGGTCAAATAATATCACCCACCATAACAATACTTAATTGGTCAACAGCCCATGAATGAATTTACCAAAAAGATAATATAAGACAATAACTCAATTTAAAACCTATAACAAAGTTCGTTCGTTTCAGCCGAAAGACGTCGACTGCTGAACAAAGGCCTCCCCCAAGGATTTCCACTATAACAAAGTACCTATACTTAGACTAGTGCCCGATTTTAAATTGTATTAAGAATCGGCCAAATCGAATCGGCGTAATGTGCGCACTTCCATACATGCCCATACTGATCAACTGCCCGACCCGACGTAAACTATCGGCCGACAAAAATCAACGATCTGCGCCTAGGCTTAAAGTTAAAAATCCATTCAGAAATTCGTCAGGCTCTATAGGTGACTGTGATTGATTTGCCTATTTAACTGTAAACGATAAATAAACTTAACAATTGTTTTTGAAATACAAAATATTTTTTGTCTTTTTTATCAATTTGTATCACATATGGCTTAAGGCAATTAGGGCTCCGTAGATAATGATAAGTTAACGATAAAACAGTCTATATAAATTACCCGTTTCCAATTTTTTATCATTCTTTTTACTACTATGTTTATTAGTTGTAATTTTTCGATAAAATAACAACTGTCTTTATCGTATGCTAAGGTTCCTTGGGTAAGTAGTCTACTACGGAACCCTATTTACCGATAAGTGTCAAGGCCCTTATTTTTAAGTAATCTACTATTTACAAATCTACCATTGTAAACTAAAACCCAGTTTCTTGACTTTCACGTAGGTTTGGAATACGAGGTCCCATACTTTGCTTGTGATCCCAAATGCTGGAACAAAACAACATGTACATAAATTACCTAACTAATATTCGACTTTTAAAAGATCCTAAAACAGATTTTTGGGCTGGACATTAATTCTCAATTAACATTCGAGAAAAGTAGTAAGTAAATATAGGCACATTTATTATAACTCATCTGTTGGGCACCGGGTGTGCCCGTTACTATACCTATATAATATATTGAATTGATTTGGAGATGTTCACTTTTTACTATATTGAAACACGTCTTTGACTAATGGTGTTTAATGAACAACTGAAGTAAAAAAGTAAAAAAACAAAGCGTCAAAATATAAAAAACATTCCAAAAGAAAAAATACAAAAAACGCATATAAAAAAGGTCTGTCGCCAACATGATCGCTAAATGCTTTCTTTAACGATGAGTGAGACTCTAGCAGATTGGAGCAAAAAAAAAGAGATATCGCGTCGTAAAGAAATAAATTCAACTAGAACCTAACCATAACTAGGAACTTTATGAATAATATGTAATTATACCAACCTTTGTCATGGTTTACGAAGTGGTGGTTGGAATGGTACCGCTTCATCACGTACAGGTAGGACCCGTCTCGCGGCGAGCCGTGGTGCACGTAGTAATGGATCATGTCGTAGGTCAGGTAGCCTGCACAGAACAAATAAATATAAAATAGGTATGTTGGAAGACTGTCCACAATAATAACCTCCTCCTTTTTTGAAGTCAGTTAAAAGGAAAACAACCTCTGTAGACTCTAGCAGAGCCTGTGCGCTTTGCCAAAATTCGATTCATATTATGCTAGCACAAAATAACGCTTGAGCAATTGACACAATTTTCGTATTTGATCAGCTGTTACCTTCATCTGCAAGGCAGCTAGAATCTTGACTGAGTATGTGATATACTCGTATGTCTTCTAACGTGTTTAAATCACTCGCTCTAGATAAATGTCAAGAACTTCTATCCCTACATCCAAGTTTTTAAGGAGTGCCCGCCTGCAAGGAACGATACTCCGTCGTCCCACCGTGTTCTTCTTTGTGTTCGATAAATGCACTCAACAAATTGTTGGGAAAGCAGATTTTTTAAACCCTCCTATGTCCTAACCAGACTAACAACTAAGGAATTTAACCTATTGCCTCTTCAGTCTTGATTGAGACTAAACAACTTTTCAATCAAAAGACCATAGAGGCAATTATCAAATAATATGAATAAGTATGACGCGACATCATTGCTGTTATGAGATGTTACCTATTTTAATTTAAAAAGGATAATGATGTTCTCAGTGTTCACATATTATTAGCAAGTACTTAACACCTTCCTGTTCATTAATGAATTAACATCTTCACCCGATAGTCAATAAGGTTATTGGTGTGACATTGAAAGACTTTGTTTTCTTAAATTCTTATTTAACTTAAGGTTGCAGACAGTACATTGTCAATTTCATGTTTTCTCTCAACATAATATTTGTTTTCTATTCTTACTGTTTTTGACAAATAAACGTGTGAACTTGAACTTGAAGTAGGTACATACAATATAGATATTATCTTGATTTTAATTTGGCATTCTACGAAGAGATGTGTTAAAACAAATTATTTTATTGTACAGTCGACATCAGAGATTACAAAATTTTATTGCAAATTAGCTGGTTCTGGAATGGAGGCCGCGTACCGGAAAACGCAGCGTGGGACGTCGACCCACAAGGTGAATGCAGGCCGCTACCAATCGAACAACATGGGTAGCATTGGGGGAGGCCTATGGTCAGCAGTAGACGTCCTATGGCTGAAATGATGATGATGATGTTGCAAAATAGCACCTACTGCAAGTAACCAAATATTAGCTTGAGGTGGATGGCGTCGTTCTACTGACAGAACATTACTCCACAGTCCACACTTGCAATCAAATCAAATAATTTATTTGCAGAACAATTATATGACACGATACAGGCATTTAGTTTCAATAATGTTCTACCAGGGAAGAAAATAACAACAAGAAAGTAAGATAGCGCCCTGTCGGACCAATTACCAATAATAACAGTTAAGTGTTAGTTTTTCTGACTAATCTTATTCTTATTTACCTAACATTTTGTAACCTAATAAGTATATTTATCGGTAACCGTTCAGCTTATCACCTCAAACCGTGCGTATACTGATAAAATACGAGGTAATATGTATTTGTAATTTTACGTAAGATATCGTTAAAGGGAAAAAGATTATTTGCTCTATGCGATAGGTAACCTAACATTGTGTAGTTTATTAATCATCGTTTGTTGGAAAGAGGCCTTTCCGAGTACCTACTACTTATAACGTTAAATGGATTCCCTTAGAAAGTCTTATCAAAATACAAATATAAAATATAAAATATGTATAAAAAAGTGTTGAAAGGCGGTGAAGGAAATGCGATAAATACAAACTAATAAAGGGATTCTAATCATCATCATCATCATTTCAGCCATAGGACGTCCACTGCTGAACATAGCATAGGTAATATAAATAAATAACCGGTTGGTAGTGGCCTGCATCCAGCACCTTCCTGCTACCTGTGTAAGGTCGTCGATCCACCCTGTGGGTGGTGAAGGGATTCTAATACTTATTTGATTTAACGGGGAAATCTTTGACAAAGATTTTCTAGAATATCTTTATCTCTATGATATGTTGTTGACAGATTTGGTTGATCGACAATACCAGCATAAATTGAGAGACAATTCGTTCGTTCGTTCATTTCAGCCGAATGACGTCTACTGCTGGATAAAGGCCTCCTCCAAGGTTTTCCACAATGAACGGTCCTGCGCTGCCCGCATCCAGGCTCTTCCCGCGACCTTCACCAGATCGTCGGTCCACCTAGTAGGAGGCCTGCCCACGCTACGTCTTCCAGCCCGTGGTCGCCACTCAAGAACTTTTCTGCCCCAACGGCCATTGTCTCTACGAGCTATGTGCCCCGCCCACTGCTACTTGATTTTAGCAATTCTGCGAACTATGTCGGTCACTTTGGTTCTCCTGCGAGACAATAGTGATAGTCGATAAAGACGAGGTAATAATCTATGCTAATCTACTACAACATTACTTATGAGTACTTACAAGTTGTAGATGTTTTATTCACAAAAATATAAAATTTAGCAAACAGTGGCGATAGTCACAAACGGAATATCAGTTAGTTTTCAGGGTTTTGTAAAGTTAAAAGATAGTTTCACAGTTAAGTGTCCATTAACTAAAATTTAACCATAGTTACATGTTAACCGACCTATAGAATGTACAAAAATGATAATGTTTTTGTAACTTTTACAGATACCTAATTTAACATGGATTTGCGGGGACAGTTATCTTTGTCATGATAACGTATTATCATTCCTCGATAAACAAGGGTTACGTGAAAAAATATAAAGCATGGTATTTAACTAAACATACATACTGGCCGACTCGTCATCCAAGGAACGCGGGTTCGAACCCCACTGACGCTCGACTATTGTGGTGAGCAAACTCGTGACACAAGCATATTTAGCTTAGTACGAGGGCCTAACGGGACACTTAGGAATTTGTGCAAAGGCAAATTAATATAATATAATATGTAATGTGTAGGTATGAATAACGGATCTCTTGAAGATCCGCTTTTGTTACTCTTTCACGCAAAAACTACTTAACGGATTTTGATGAAACTTTACAGTAATATTGTTTATAACCCAGGCTATAATTTATGCCGATCTGTGACAAATTAAATTTCACGCGGGTGAAGCCGCAGGCAAAAGCTAGTGTATGTCATAATATTAAACCACGCTCGTGTGACTCTATAAATTATATTTGTCTATGGAAAACCAATATTAGGCTTGAATTAATTTGATTTCGTACTTACAGTAGGTACGACACGATAGGCATTAATTTTCCAAATGAAATGAAAAATGGTTACACGAGTATGAAAATAAACATGACCCATATTTTTATTATTTCGACAGGTGCTATCAAACACCTATGCCTATAATAACTGTGACCCCTTAATGTTGGAGTAATGTACACATTATGTAATAATATGAAACGGACATTTTATCTATGGTAGAGTCTACTTTTTAGGTGAATTAAACATTAAAACGTTCATCGTCGAATACTAATGCCTGTTTTTTACCATCAATCCCTAATTTTTAAGTGACCCAGGAAACATAATTCCTTTTATGTGTTACCCCCTAAGGTAAAACATAACAGGAATTTTGTTTTCATAGGGGTCACTTAAAAATTAGGGACTGATGTTGAAAACGGGCATAATTCACTTAGCAATCAGGTTAATCCATTTCAGATAACGTTTCGCTGTTTATCTTTTCCGGTAAATCAACACGGTCGATAGCTCCAAAACATACTATTAGTCGAACCCACGGGACTCTACCGGGTCCGTATTCTCAGGTATCTGTCACTGTCTCTCATTCTAACTTTTTGTTTGGAGTGAGGAAGATGGACATAAGAATTGAGTAATCTCTCGCTAGGGCAATACAACAATAAAACAAATGAATTGTTACGTGTGTTTTCTCTATGAGGTAATCATATCGTTCGATGATTACCATCCCAGCGGAAAATGTGCAGGCAGTATGTAGTTTGCTGACACTGGCACTTTTTTGGGATTTTCATGTGCCAGTCAAATCTAGGTTTATAGTTCATCGTTAGACATCTAACGTGCTAATAAGGAATCGCCGCAGCTCACGACTTCATAACTTTTTAGTATAAACGCACGCCTTTTTTTGTAAATGAACTCAATCGACCTCTAAATGTTCAGTGGGAAACATTTCACCAAGTCGAGGAGGCGCTGCCTATACAATTAATGGCGATGCCGCGATGGCGAGTGGCGTCATCGGAGTGACGTCTGACCTTGTAATGTAGTAGTAGAAATGAAAAACGTCTGGCATTCCTCAAACATTCAGTTCACTTTCTTGTGTGTTAAGAATTTTTGTAGCATGGTTGTTTAAGACATCTTGCAACTTAGGCCCAGAACAGACGTTGAAACGCAACTGCAACGAAACTGCAACTGCTAGTTACTTTTGAGTTGCATCTAAGTTTCTGCCATAGCGTCCGTTAAGTGACCACACATGACGCGACCAGTTTGAAACTTTCGGTTTCAGTTTCATTCATCAGAATCATCAGAAAGGTGCAGTTGCGTTTCACCGTCTGTTCTGGGCCTTAGGTGTGCTTAACGTGTGCGATATGAGTTTTGTAACAGACGACAAAAAATGTAAAGTAGGTTTGCTGAGTATAAAATTTGCATGCTTGCACTAATGATACCTTTTTCGAGCAGGGGGGAGTCGTATTAACGAATGAAGTTCATACGAATAAAGAATCCAATTCGAAAACATCGACTTCCATGAAAATTTCACAATTAGATAAGATATTTATCTAGTATCTTTAGTTTTATCCTACATCACATAAACCGAATAACGTAAATTATGATGCATTGAGGAAAATAAAAGTTCTATTTAAAGAGGTAGGTCACATTAAATAACTGCAACATTCGATGAAAAATCATTATTTAACGTTATTTTGTCTAAACTTGTGACCAATACCCAAACTAGCTACTTAAAATCAACATCAAAAATATTTATTCAGTTTAGACCACTAGTGGCACTTATGAACGTCAAAATATAGTAAATAATAAAAAAAGAAAAGGTAGCCCTTATGGGGCACTTTACATGTCTGCTTCCTTATCTTTTGTGCCTTACGCAGCGCTTCGATACAAACATTTATGGCAAGTGCTGAGAAGAAACGCCGGAACAAACTCAGTCACCACTAAATCCGTTCGGTCTACATTTTGGGACAATAAGGAGCTACCAAGACCATCGTAGTCGTTCTTATTATAATTGTGGGAGTAGGCCATTTGCCGTCTTCAATCCACACCATTGTTTTATCTGTAAAATACGATAATTGCTTACGTCTGGAGATATTCGTGGCCTTGCTACGTTCCCGGCGCTATATTGATACAATATTATTAATTGGGACTCGTGAATTTTTGACGTGAAGGTTAATGGACGCCTTGAGTCGGCTCTACGTGCTTTCACTGTCTATTAACTATTATTTATATCAATAGTTATGGGCCGAAACAGAAATAATAACTGAATAGTACGTTGTGCCAAGAACTGTCTCTTCCTGCACTGATAGATAAATCTCTAAAAATGACACGGGTCTTAACTCGACATATTTTAATCGAAATGGAACGCGAAAGTTTAATCTTAGATAAATCTCTCTGCAGGAAGACAAATAAAATATCTTTAATTTTCCAGAGACAAAAAGAAGGTTTGGCTTACGCTACTTAGTAGATTAGGATTTTTTGTAACTGAAGTCAATTTTTTTTAAATGAGGGTTTTCGCGAATGAAAGATCCGCTAGATGGCGGGACGTGGATGTGGGGTCTGACTGCTGCGTGATTGGTGGATTTTGACATATCTGTCAATGTCATGTCAAAAATAACCAGTCATGCAGCATTTGGACCTCGCGTCTACGTATTGCCATCTGGCGGATTTTTCATTCGCGAAAACCCTCATTATTTTATTTACCTATCTTGTTTACCTTTTCTCAATTCAATCCTACCATTATTTTCTTGATAGATACAAAATTATTCTATGGGCAACTGTTACGAGTAGGTATAGCTTAATTACTTCCTTAATGTCTAAGTCTAATAATCTTCACCCCGCATTAAATAGGATTTTTAATCAGCAGCTTTTGACGATATTATCATCGTATTTTGACAACATATCACAAAATACTTATCATGTTTTATCACTACTCGTATATTTATGCAATGAATCATAGTAAATGTCTATAGTTTATCTTCTCTGTGATGATATTTTTGGTTAAAACACAAGTTTTCTAACTAACTAGGAAAGCTTAGCAAGCTCTAGATATTTAACACTATCTTTGAGGAAATTAAAATTAAGTGAATAACAATACCACGGACAATGAAAACAACAAATTCCAAATTGTGCGAAGTACCTACTACTACTATGTATGTACGAGTAGGTACAAGAGTTACTGGTGCTATGGGTAGATGTACTATTAAAATTTTATTTACTTGACTACATATTAATCTATTTTCTCAAAAAATAATACAGACAGTGCTACATTTAATTTTTTATCAGCTCTCATAAACACTCTATTTTATTGGAATTTTAAGTGGACTAACAATCCTGTCACTGTTGAAAAAAAATTCATTAGAATTTATGATAGAGAATGAATGCGTTAATTGTTCTAATATCCAAGGACAAAGAGGCTATGATGTAGAAAACAATGTAAGTAGTGTTTTTGTTACAAAATTGTTTTGCTTTGACTAAGTTTTTGTAGTAGGTTTTATTATAATGTAAGGTTGAATATAGTGCAGCGTGCAACGTGGGTCGAAGCCATAACTTTTTAGTGAGATTGTTTCCTTTTTTGCTCCTGTTTTTACGTGTTTGTATGAAACAACTAAGGTCACGCCTTGGTGTCAGAGTCGCCAGCCGTCTGAGTCTGACATAGCTCAGTCGAACAAAAGATTTCTTTACGGGACTATTCCCCCCTCTCGTTCCCACCGCTGCAAGTCCTGTGTAGCCAGGATCTACCCTAATAACCCAACCAGTGAAGGTCAAATTTGTCCCCGGGGAAAGTTAAACTGTCATTAGAGCCGCAACAAACTTAATCAGAAGAACATAGGAGGAGTTCGAAATTAAGGTTCAACTCTTGAATGCAGTGCAAAACACATGATAGGCTTTTAATAGATAACTGGAACTACGATTTCATTATCGCTAGAGAAGATAACTGTAGGACTACTCCGAAACGCTGTTTTTTATTTCAGGACTATCTGTCACCGTCGCTCATGCTGGCATCTCGCTTTGCGTGAGAGAGATGGCAACATTCGAAACTTCCATAAAATTGTTCGGTCGGAGTAACCCTGCTTTAGCAATTAGTTTATATTTACCCATAAGCCCTCCAACAAACTTGACCTCGGGATACGGGATCCACATCCAGAAGGGAATGTAGAGGATCCCGGCGAGAATCAACGCTGGGATTGGCGGGAACACCTGACGAAGTCCGTCGAACGGCATCTAGAAAATAATCAAAACTTAATAAATCTAAAACATATACCTACTCGTATTTCTGTAGAAAGATAGTCGTTATGGGAAATGATACCACAAACAGGTAAAAGTATGTAAGTAACACCGCAATAACAACGATTTTAGTATTTTGTTTTTAAAAGAGTTGTGCCCGTTTTCACCATCAATACCTAATTTTTAAGTGACCCCTATGGTAACACATAACAGGCATTTTGTTTTCAAAGGGGTCACTTAAAAATTAGGGATTGGTGGTGAAAACGGGCATTAGGAACCTAGATATAAGATACAATCGTAGTGCTGGTACCAAACCGTGGTGTATATTTAGTTACTATGGTAATTGTAAGTACGTACTCGTAGGACTATTAGATCAAAATAACTTTTTCCCCGTGAGATTCGAACTCACGACCTAGCATTGAACTCGGGCACTCGACTGCTTAGGCAGGTGGCCTTCAAAACATTGAGTGATTACCAATTTATTTGAGATAAATACCTACTTATCTTTAGAGATAGGCGAAATATTGTTTTATCAAATTCTTAATTTTTTATGTTGTAACACTTTCGTAACCGACGTGTGATCGACTGTTTCTGTCAGAATTTTAAGTAGGTAGAGCCACATATCATACGGGTAGTTTGCATATTTTTGATAAGGCAGGTATCTACTACATTTTACATTTCGAAATATTAAAAGTTTGAAATATAGTATCGGAAAGTAGCTCACACAAACCACGAATAGCTATTTATAAGTTTGAAATATAGTATCGGAAACTAGCTCACACAAACCACGAATAGCTAATTATCCTCTGGATGGTAACATAAAATAAACTATCATAAGCAAATTGTATTCACAACAATTTTCAAAGGATGCAAAAAATTTATTTGCAAAACTCAACTAAATTATTTACCAACTATTCTGCATGTCTAATGTCGTGTACACTACAGACGTAGGTAAGTACACACGAATCGTAATATCTGAACTATGCTCACAATAGTACTAATTTTCATATATTTAAATACTAATTAGCATGCTTCAATGACACGTTGGTTATACCTAATGCGGGATTTGGGTATTTTCACTAGAATTCACTCCTCATCTAGGTACATTATCTCAATGCGTTTACATTAAGTTGCTACTATTGTGGTGAGCTCACTCGTGCTACAAGCATATTTAGCTTAGTACGAGGGGCTAACGAGAGTATTAGGTAGTAATTTGTGCAATAACAAATTACTAATAATCTTTAAAAAAATATACCGCGTCACACGAATAGTCTACGTCAGTGTTTCTTAACCTATTTTGTCCACGGACCCCTGAAGAAATCATGCACAATTTTAAGGACCCCCTTAATAAAAAAAGCAGCAATAAATTTCGATTACGTTACTTTTGGTGGCATTTACTTATGATTGTTAAATGTTCCATAGATTGAACCCCTGGGGGTCCGCGGACCACAGGTTAAGAAACACTGGTCTACTTACTATCCGTTCGCGATAAGTTTGCCGCTGGCGATATGACGTCACTCGAAGGAAAGCGTCTATAACTTTAGCAAACAATATTGAAAATATTTTTTATTTATTAATATCAATATTAATTGATAAAAATTATGTATTTGCGTAAAATAAAACACTCAATTGCGTTTAATCACTAATTATTTGCGTTTAATCGCGGTTGGAGAAGGGGACGCGCATTCCACGGACCGGCAAACTTAGCGCGAACGGGTAGTAGGTACGTTATCTGACCCACCAGGTGTAGGTACTGCCTACTATGTAACCTATGTAAGCATCGCTCGATTATTGCAGACAGATCTAAAAATACTTTGCAAATAAGTAAGTAATGACTCGTGTATTATAAAATAATTTCATGGTTAGAAGATTAGTGACGAAAAGTAAGTATCAGAGCTGATAGAAATAAAAAATCCCAATGTTACCAAGCCGATATAATACCACAGATAATATAATAATACTAAGCCGCAATATTTACGAGGATTTTCGATTTTAAACCGTAATTGTGTCATAAAGATATTGTAGGCGTAGTTTATCAAATTCAATTACAATTTATCGAGTGGAATGTTCATTAATTGTAAATTGTACTCAGTTATCGCAATTTAAGACTAATACCCGTTTTAAATGACCCCTAAAAAAGGCCTGTTACTGTTAAGTGTTACCATAGAGGGATCACTTAAAAATTAGGGATTGATGGTGAAAACGGGAACAACAATCAAGTGCAACGAGGGACTTAAGCGCTCCCAAGACGAAGATGGCATTATCCTGAAGAAAATTACTTTATACTACGAGATAATAAAAAGACAACAAAAAGAATTTTGTAAATAACACACCTACTCAGTGAACTAATTCTTCGTGGCTCTCTCCCGTAACGTAAGGTATAGAAAGGTTCTTTCTCTATTCGCTTCTGCAGCAAGCAGTGACTGTTACAGTTTCTTGTGACAGGTATAGACGAAGTCACAATCAAGCTTATCACTAAAAGTTCGGCCAAATCAACGCGGGCAGCCTGCGTGCGCGATGGCGATGGCGATCCTACTGATTGCCATCGCAATTGCAATGGTTTGGCCGACCAATGCGCGACTGTACGTCACCTTATGTAACCGGAATATACTCTATACCCCTTATAGTCCAGTCATTTAAGCTTAAATTAGGTAAGAATCTCGGAATTAGAGATACCCAGCTGTAAGTCTGTAAATACTTGTATATTGACACCCTAAAAGTTGTCTCAAAACCTACATATGGTAGGATGTAATAGTTGCTTACACCCTACCATATGTAGGTTTTGAGACAACTTTTAGGGTGTCAATATACACGTATTTACAGACTTACAGCTGGGTATCTCGAATTCCGAGGTGAACTTACTATAATGACTGGACTATTACTAATAAAACTTACGCCCGTATTCACAAACGATGCTTGCTTATGTGAAGCAGCAAATCGAACGCACAGCGTTAAATAGAGCTCTGTGATTGGGTCGTGTGTCACCCTGTGCGTCCACGCGCACTGTGAGACCTCATAGTAATGTTTGTGAATACGGGCGTTACACGCTCGTTGATCAGTGTTTTAAAGTGACGTTTAGTATGGAAAAATCATTTTAAAACAGTGATCAACAACCGTGTAACTTTTTATTAGTAAGGGGGTATAGTTCCAAAATACTGAACTGTTCTATGCATGACATTGACAGTGGTGCGCCACCGTCAATACCGGATCGCTGGTTCCAATTTTTGCCATGTTCGAAACCATATAGTTGAACGATGGTAGCGCCCTGCTATATGAAGCTGTCTGTGCCTCAAGAATGACATTGCAATCTGTACCTTATGGTGCAGGCCATGTATGAGGAAGTGGAGCTTGATCATCGTGATCGAGGACCCAGGGTCGAGGTGGAACACCCACCGGTGCAGGCTGTACTCCACGGCGCTCCAGATGCCCACTCCCATCACCATGTGGCCCAGGAACTGGATCGGATTTAAGGGTTCTGTGCAGGAGTCTGCAACAAAATGAAAAATTGAGATGATTATCCTGTTGTAGCCTGGATGCGGGCGGCGCAGGACCAGTCGTTATGGAAATCCTTGGGGGAAGCCTTTGTCCTGCAGTGGACGTCATTTGGCTGAAATAATATCCTGTAGGATGGGATATAGTGACTTTCGTAAAATTAAGAATACCGAGGAGCTAAACGTGTTGTTGTATGAAACCTGGCGCCACAAAATCTATCTATAAGTATCTATATAAATAAAAATGAATTGCTGTTCGTTAGTCTGATTAAAATCGAGAACAGCTGGGCCGATTGAGCTGACTTAGGTTTTAAAATGTTTGTCGTAGTCCAGGGTAGGTCCAAACGGTGAGAAAATAAGGAAAAATTGCGATGACCTATTTATTGCCTATAAGGCGGAACAGAGTTCGCCGGGTCAGCTAGTAATACCTACATATAATTCGCGCACGGCGATAGTAGCGAATGGACAATAATCATAAAGTATACGGTATACTTTTAGGGTCCCGTTAAAAAAATAAGTAGATGACTCACCTCCACAAGCAACATGCTCAAGAAAATTCCTTGCTAGCAGGTACATTATGATCGGTATCCAGAACACCGGCACCAGATACCAGGGGGTGAACGTCATGCTCTCCAGGATAGGGCTCTGGAATAGCCTGCATCTTCTGTAAACAGCACTGTTGACCCACATCTCGTAGTGGGGTGCTATCGCATCCAGCTGGGACACGATTGGCTTGGACCAATCCAGTCGTGCCTGGAAAGAAAGGACTGTTAAAGAATTAAAGTGCCACGCCATAGTCAGGTGCGCGAATATGCATTCATCTAGGATCTATGTACAGATTGTAAAAAATGCTTGCAAACTAAGATACTAATGAGCCAAGCAGGAAACTCAGGAATTCGTGATAGCTACTGAATCAAGTCACAAACTACAAACATAAAAAAGTTGTCATCATTTTTGCTAGTGGATCCAATACATAGTGAGTTACGACGAAGCGCCTTCCAGGACAATCTCCATCGTTTTGTAAGTAGGTAAGTACGTCCGCGTGACCGCGTCAGCCGAAACGTAAAAAATGTGCCATCATACCACCTCGCCTTATAAAATCAACTTAAATACTGTCACAATGTAGGATTTACGTTACAATTATTTATTTCAAGGACTTTGTGTCAATGTGTCTTATTGCCGAGATTAGTGCAATCTTAATTGAGCTACAGCTTTATTGCTTCGACTCGATAACAAATTAACAATTAAAGATTACAGATAAAACATCTGACTCATAATTATCACCATTACTCAGCAAGTCAGCACCAACCATGCCTTAAGTTTAATTAAAAGTAAGTTAAATTGCGTTTTCTAAGACTATATTAGACTATAAGGGATGACACTCGTAAATAAACGTAATTATTAAAAAAAAACCCTGAAATGTCATCAATACACCGCTGTGTATAAAGACACCACTACCAATGTAAAGACAAGTTAAATAGTTACCTAAAGTGTTTTCGTAAGCGGCATTGACAGAAAGACAGCTTACTCTACAAAAACTTCAAATACGGAGATAATGACCCCAAACAGACTGAAAATTCCCTATGTAAAATTCTACCTTCCATTGAATAATTGAAGCCCAACGAAAGGGTGATAGGTTTGAAGGAGAGCGCGACCACGTTTACCGACGTATGACGTTCAAAAACAGACGTGAGTTTGGCGGAATTCATGAGAAGATACCATAAATAAAAGAAGAAGAAAACGACATTTTCATCTATCTCATTCTCAATGATAAGTCATATGTTACGTCCATAGTTGTTTACAAGTTGATAGAATTTGAAGAGGGTCATCTTTTGGGCGAGTGGGACAAGTTTGACAAGATTTAATCTTATCGACACATACGATCAGATTTGATCTTGTCGTACGTACACGTAGCATTATATCGCGATTGATAAAAATTGGAATTTGTACTATCCACGAATTGCCTTAAAGAACGCAATTGAACATTATGGTGCTTACGTCAGTTGCACCACCTCAATTTAACCGAAAGTATAACCTTCACCGGTGTTTTTATATGGAGTTTATCTGGCTTGACGTTTGTGTTAACGTAAGATAGTGCAAGTGCAATCCAGCCTAAACTATCTCTGGGTAAATCGTGAATAGGTCAGGTTTTTGTCCACTGATATTCAAATTATACCTACTTAACTCTAGTGCTCTAAAAATAGTTTCTAGGCAAAATTTTTGCAGACGTTAACATAACCAACTTACTACATTTGTATTATGGTTCGCTGTTTACGTTTTTTTACGGAAATGCAACGGCAACTCACGGTCACGGCCGGTATTAACAATTAGTGTAAAAAATTGATTCGCTTAGTTTGTTTTGATCTCTATACCTACCTACTTTTATGTACCGTACCAGTTTTGGAAAAGCGGGAAATTCGGTGTAAGGATGAGATAAAGATGTCTGCCTATAGGAAAAATATTTAAAGCAAGTGTGTGTAGGCAGGTGCAAATAAGTATTTTATTCATAAGGACAAGGTTTTAAATATAACACATTTTGCCACTCTGCTGGATTACTTGTACCTAACTAAATACTTAAGCCTAAATTCAATTTATTTTTGTACTCATTATGATGCATTGTAAACGTAATACACCGAAGCCTTCTGCACATCACGACAAAAGGATGACACATTATTGGCATGGTGACTTGACCAGTTTCTGTATTTGCCGTGTATTTGAACGACAAAGTTAAATAAACATTCTTACAAGTCATAAAATTCAAGATAATGAAGTAACTAGAAGGTAGGTACAAGGGTCGGGCTGTATGAATCAGTATGAACATTGACACCTATGGAAGTGCGCCGATTCTTCATACAAATTGGAATTGGAAGCCTTCCAAATTATCGGTCGACTAACCCCCGTTTTCACCATAAATCCTTCATTTTTAGGTGACCCCTATTCAAACAAAATTCTTATTATGTGTTACCATAGGGCACTTAAAAATTAGGGATTGATGGTGAAAACGGTAATACCTATGTAACCTATATTAGTTTTATTTGCTTATTTTCTTCTACATGACTCCCTGACCTCTGTCTACGGTCAACATGCGATTGATGGTTACCGTCACGAATATTGTGAAGCTGTACAATTGATAAATGGTGTAGGCCCATCGAGGCCATAGCAGGGCAAGCTCTAAAATATGAAAATGAAACTAACTACCTACCTAAGGTTTCGTGACGCCTACTCTCTATATGACCCAAGGGGTCTATTACACCATGACGCAGTTAATCTATACTTCTATACTATACTATATACTAATATTATAAATGCGTAAATAATGCGAAAATAACTCTATCTGTCTGTCTGTCTGTCTGTCTGTCTTGCTTTCACGGCTAAACCACTGAACCGATGCTGATGAAATTTGGCACAGAGATAGTTTGAGTCCCGGGAAAGGACTTAGGATAGTTTTTATCCCGGTTTTTGAAACAGGGACGCGCGCGATAAAGTTTTTCTGTGACAGACAAATTTTGAAACGGGCGAAGCCGCGGGCGGAAAGCTAGTATAAAGTGCAGATGTTAAA